TTTTGAGAGGAATTAGAGAGAAGAATTGTCCGGAGATCAAGTGGAATCAAATTTGGTTTTTCATCTTCTTCAAAATCTGAGTTTTTGCATAAAAAGGTGAGTGATTTCTAAACCTCTTTTGAATAAAATTTGTAACTGGTTTTTATTGAATGTTGCTTATTAATTGGAAGAAATTAGTTATCCGATTGAGGTCTTTATACGGACAAGGGGTGACCGTACTAAGTATAAACCGGACAAGGCTTGTCCGGATTACACTTAAACCGGATAGGAGTTATCCTATTTATCTATAAATCGCTTAAGTGTTGTGCGGTTTAGCCTTAAATCGCTCAAGGGTCGTGTGTGGATTAGTTATAAATCGGGTAAGTGTTGTTCGGATTGCCTTAAACCGGACATGAGTCATCCGGTTTAGTTCTAAATCAATTAAGGGTCATAATATTTGTCCGGATTAATATATATCGTATAAAAACCAAGGGTTATCCGGATTGTTTTCCGGACAACTTATCCGGGAGGTGTACATTTGATAAATTTTCAGGTATGGAGGCATTGTAGGCATATATATAATTTAATAATGTCTATTAATAGGTTTCTGTTATTTCAAAAAGATATTTTATATCTTTTAAATAAAAGATATGTTTCTACCAAGTGTGGTGAAGTAAGTCTATTTTTGTATGAAACTATATTTTGGAAACATTCCTACCAAGCGTGGTGACGTATGTCTGTTTTGGTATGGAATTGGATTTTGTAAACTGTTTCTACCAAGCGTGGTGACATAAGTCTGTTTTGGTATGAAACTTATTTTAAGGGTGTTTCCCCCAGACGTGGTAACTTTTGTCTGTTCTGGCTTGGAACTCGGAATGGGTACTTTCAGACATGGTGACTTTTGTCTATTCTGATAAGTAGCCCTATTTTGATGGAGGAATAAGGGTGGCATATCAAGGAGAGGTGTACTTGGAATAAGGGAGGCATTGTCATATGTGGATGGTATTATTATAACTCTTATTATTATTACTAAATTGGAGTTAATAACTTTGAATCATCATTTCTTTGTGACCTGATGAATTAGAGATATTATYCCTATTAAAAATAATAATTTAGATGTTATTGAGAAGGGGAAAATGGTTTGTCAGAAAAAGGCAAGTATTGCCTTAAATCTTTCCATTAAAATTTACAAATGAATGGTTTGATGATTCAAAGAAGCTTTGGTTACAATATTTGTTTCATATTGGGAACATTGAATCTTTAAGCAGATGTATTTATTTAATAGAACTGAGGTTCTTGGATTTATCCTATTATACATGTCATTGAGGACTGCATTATTTGAGTGTATTGCAAATATTCCTGAGCAAAGATATTTTATTATATTTTGGTGTTTATCACCCTGCATTTGCAAAGAAGGGATTCATTCACTAGACCCTTCTGGTCTTACCCTCATTTCAGTTTTAAAAATATGCTATGCAGGAACTGCGGGGACCAGGGATAATAAGGGGAAATGGAAAATGTAATTATTTTCCTAATATGATATCTGCTTTTGGAGATCTGCATGAGATTGCTTATTTTTTAAGATATATGTTGTACTTCATATGTTAGTACAGGATGTTGTTTTGGAATTTTTCATATGTAGATTTTGTACATATAAGAATTCTTGGACTACTGGGACCTTGTGATGTAAACTATATTTTCATGTAATGAAATATGTGTTATATGCAAATGTGGTGTTTGGGGGTGTTACATGGATTTTTCATGAAAAGATTTTGATTCAGATAATAAAGATTGTGCCCAATCAAAATTTTCAGCATTTTAATCACAAAGTTTAATGTATTTTTCTTTTTGCGTTTCTAAATTTTTTGAAGATTATTTGCACGTTGTTTTCAGATTTTATTTGTTGTTGAAAACTTTGAAGTTTGAACATCATCTTTTGCATCTGATGCATGCATGAACTTTCCAGTACCTCATCATTTAGCTCAGCACTCTTGTTGGTCCCAAAAGGGTCTACAAGAATACTAAACAG